TTCCCATAAAAAGACAAATTGACTAGAAACCAAAGCGTCTGGATAAATGAGGCTCCACTGTACACTATAATGACATACATGTATATGGAAGCAAGAAATCTGTGGAATTTTCTACCCACAGATCAATAGAAATTGAGAGATTCTGTGGAATCATGACCCTATCAAAAAGCATGTTTAGAGCGTTTTCAATTTGCATATGAACAAACATTTCTATGACTTGTACGCACCTTGTTTGCTGCTTCCACTTTTGCCAGGGCTGCATCGTACTTGGCATTTTCCTGAAATAGTACTCGTTACCTTGTAATCAGAATATTATTATCTAGCTGCAGATCTGTAGCGTTATGGTTTTATAGTTTGTATTTTGTTTTTAGTTTGTATTTTGTTTGTAGTTTGTTTTATATTTGTATTTGACCATAATGCTACAGATTCCGTAATGCAAAAAAGGTGCAATTTACGGCGCAATATTTTTTGTGCTCTTTCGAGGAGAATTTCTTCACTTTCTAGCATTGACCAAATAACTACCTTTCACTTCCTAATTCTAGACACATTCTATAGCCAAAATTTATAATTTATCCACCTCCCAACCAATTATAGTTGTCTCAACAGGCAATAAACTCGCTTGAAGTAAATTTTCAGCAATCTAACAAATAATTTTAATCAAGCTAGTTTATCACTTGTAGAGATGACTTTTAAGGGTTAGGAGATGGACAAAATATATAGATTAGCTAAATAATGTGCTTAGAATTAGGGAGTGAAAGGTATTTAATTGACCGATGCTGAAAAGTAGAGAAATTCTTCACAAAATATTGCGCCGTAAATTGCACCTTTTTTGCATTACGGGATCTGTAGCGTTATGGTCAAAGACAAATATATAAAACCATAACGCTACAGATCTGAAGCTAATTATTATCCGGCAGCTACCCCTTGCATTGACCTAATGAAGGCAACCTAAGAAACCAAAGCTTTATCCGGTCACTGCCCTAATAAAGCTTGGTGCATGTATTCCGACGTTCTAAAAGCATTATTGCAATGTTTACGCCACCAGGCGTCTTAGTTTCAACTGCATAGATGTGCCTAAATCTGTCTAAAATAGCTAGTTTTGGACGTTCAAATGTAAAGAATATGTTGCAGGATAAACAAAAAACATGATAACTGTCTTGAAATATAAGCGATATTTGGGCTCGGGTCTCGAAAACGTAAGAGGACTCGGTAAGCCTTGCCTTCTGTCACGTTTTCTTACCCTAGCCCAAATGTCACTTATATTTCAAAACAGTAACCATGTATTATATATGTACAGTTGCACATATATGACAAGAACTGAGACTTAAAATATCTTGCTATACTTAGACGTATGGAATCGAAAAGTATTACAGTCATTTAGGGTATTCCAAATCACCTTTTACATTTTGACTGCAGATGATTTTATTAAAAACTTTTCACATGGTTATTTGGTATCAAGGGAGAGCCAATTTAGTGAAAAATCAGATCTACTTTACAGAACGAGTCTATCTTTGATACAGTGACCTTGACGGGGGTTATATTTGGATCACCTTTTTAGTGTATTGCGAATCACTTCCGGGTATTTCGAATCACCAGGTAAATGGGTTGACATCATCATAATTGATGAACTATATAGTTAGTATTGTTTATCATAAAAAAGCTCGAAGAATAAAAAGAATTAAAATTTTCTTGATTGTTCTTGTTTATTTATAGTTATCAACACCCCCCTCTTTATTCTCACTATAAAACAGCTTTTCAGAAGAGGATCATGCAGAAAAGCAATTATTACCAAGAAAATAGGGGTTTCAGAAATTACATGACTGTAAATTGTTGTCCTGTAAATATACAATAATTTAATTGTAATTTTGTCACTTTTAGCCCCTGTGATTTTTTTTTTGCTGAAAAAAAAATAATTTCGAAAATATCACAATTCTACGAATCGGTTACTCCCCCCCCCCCCCCCCCCCAAAAAAAAAACAAGAGGCCCATGGGCCACATCGCTCACCTGAGTACCAAGGGTAGGACTAGTATGAAATGGCTTTTAATTGTAAAGTTTAAATCCAAAAGTAGTCCCATGACCAATCATGGATTTGATATATTTTAGAAAATGATTAAGAAGAAGATTTTTTAAGAATTTTCCTATATATTTCTATGTAAAACTTTAATCGGCCATTTTGCCCCCGCCCTACCCCCGGGGGTCATGATTTGAACAAATTTGAATCTACACTACCTGAACATGCTTCCATATAAATATAATGAATAATGGCTTTGTCATTCTTGAGAAGAAGATTTTTTAAAAATTTTCCTATATATCTCTATGTAAAACTTGGGTCGGCCATTTTGGCCCCACCCTACCCCTGGGGGTCATGATTTAAACAAACTTGAATCTACACTACCTGAGGATGCTTCCATATAAATATGATCAATTATGGCTTTGCTATTCTTGAGAAGAAGATTTTTAAAGAATTTTCCTATATATTTCTATGTAAAACTTTGGTCGGCCATTTTGGCCCCGCCCTACCCCCGGGGATCATGATTTGAACAAACTTGAATCTACACTACCTGAGCATGCTTCCATATATATATGATGAATTATGGCTTTGTCATTCTTGAGAAGAAGATTTTTAAAGAATTTTCCTATATATTTCTATGAAAAACTTTGTCAGCCATTTTGGCCCCGCTCTAACCCCTGGGGTCATGATTTGAACAAACTTGAATCTACACTACCTGAGCATGCTTCAATATAAATATGATGAATAATGGCTTTGTCATTCTTGAGAAAAAAATTTTTATTAAGATTTTTTCCATATTAATTCTATGTAAAACTTTGGTCGGCCATTTTGGCCCAGCCCTACCCCCGGGGATCATGATTTGAACAAACTTGAATCTACACTACCTGTGCATGCTTCCAAATAAATATTATGAATTATGGCTTTGTCATTCTTGAGAAGAAGATTTTTATAGATTTTTCCTATATATTTCTATGTAAAACTTTTGTCGGCCATTTTGGCCCCGCTCTAACCCCGGGGGTCATGATTTGAACAAACTTGAATCTACACTACCTGAGCATGCTTCAATATAAATATGATGAATAATGGCTTTGTCATTCTTGAGAAAAAATTTTTTAAAGATTTTTTCCATATTAATTCTATGTAAAACTTTGGTCGGCCATTTTGGCCCCGCCCTACCCCCGGGGATCATGATTTGAACAAACTTGAATCTACACTACCTGTGCATGCTTCCAAATAAATATTATGAATTATGGCTTTGTCATTCTTGAGAAGAAGATTTTTATAGATTTTTCCTATATATTTCTATGTAAAACTTTGGTCGGCCATTTTGGCCCCGCCCTACCCCCGGGGGTCATGATTTGAACAAACTTGAATCTACACTACCTGAGCATGCTTCCATATAAATATAATGAATTATGGCTTTGTCATTCTTGAGAAGAAGATTTTTAAAGATTTTTCTTATATATTTCTATGTAAAACTTTGGTCGGCCATTTTGGCCCCGCCCTACCCCCAGGGGTCATGATTTGAACAAACTTGAATCTACACTACCTGAGCATGCTTCCATATAAATATGATGAATTATGGCTTTGTCATTCTTGAGAAGAAGATTTTTAAAGATTTTTCCTATATATTTCTATGTACAACTTTGGTCGGCCATTTTGGCCCCGCCCTACCCCCGGGGATCATGATTTGAACAAACTTGAATCTACACTACCTGAGCATGCTTCCACATAAGTTTCATCTTTCCTGGCACAGTGGTTCTTGAGAAGAAGATTTTTAAAATTTACCACTAAATTTTCATTAATTCCCAATTATCTCCCCTTGAATAAGAGCGTGGCCCTTCATTTGAACAAACTTGAATCCCCTTCACCCAAGGATACTTTGTGGCAAGTTTGGTTGAAATTGGCCCAGTGGTTCTTGAGAAGAAGTCCAAAATGTGAAAAGTTTACAGACAGACAGACGGACAGACAGACGTACAAACACACATTTGGTTATATATTGGGTACATCAAGTCCAAGTCCTATTGGATACTGCTTATTGGATACAAAAAAAGTGTACACACGAGAGAGTATTATTTGGGTAGTTACTGTTCAAATCTTATTGGATATTAATCCTCGTGTCCGTATTTTATTGGGTTTTTCTTATTGCTTTTTATTCATTTAAATTTATCATAAGTATATTTAATATTTGCTGGTAAATTCAGACAAGACTAAAAACCTTTGGTTTTGAACTCATATTTTTGTCAATTTCTGTGATATAGCTCTTTTATTGTAACGCCTAACTAATTTGTTCTTAGCAACAAGGATATACACCTGTATATTTCAAAATAACTGATATTAAAATACATGAAAACCTAAGTGCAAAAAAAAACTGAATTGTGAAAACACAACTCAACACATCTCAGACTCTGTTCAACCTTTCTTGAATAACAAAATTAAGTATTTAAGGAGAAACCTTTTTGAGTCATTACCAATAAGCAAATGTCCATTACATGTTGGACAGAATGAAGGTATCCAACAGGCATTGGACAGGTGTCCAATACCTGTTGGGTTGTATTTTGACGAAATGATTAAAATATCCAAGAACAATTGGACATGTGTACATTGTCCAATTCTATTTGGGTTTCTTGAATCTCCTCATCAAAATACCACCCAACAGGTAATGGACACCTGTCCAACTCCTCTTGGATATCTACATCCCACCCAACAGGAAAAGGACACTTGTCCAATTCTCTTCTTGGGTTTCTTGAAATGTTTCATCAGAATACCACCCAACAGGTAATGGACATCTGTCCAACTCCTCTTGGATATCTACATCCCACCCAACAGGCAATGGACACTTGTCTAATTCTTGGGTTTCTTGAATTGCATCATCAAAATACAACCCAACAGGTAATGGACACCTGTCCAACTCCTCTTGGATATCTACATCCCACCCAACAGGTAATGGACACTTGTCCAATTCTTTTTGGGTTTCTTGAATTGTTTCATCAGAATACCACCCAACAGGTGATGGACATACGTCCAACTCCTCTTGGATATCTAAATCCGACCCAACAGGCAAATGACACTTGTCTAATTCTTGGGTTTCTTGAATCTCTTCATTAAATACAACCCAAGAGGTAATGGACACCTGTCCAACTCCTCTTGGATATCTACATCCCACCCAACAGGTAATGGACACTTGTCCAATTCTTCTTCTTGGGTTTCTTGAATTGTTTCATCAGAATACCATCCAATGGGTAATGGACATCTGTCCAACTCCT